TTATCAACTTGCGGATTCCTGTGGTGACATTGGGGTAATCTATGCATAGGGGTTGATACACAATTTTATATTCCTTTCTCCAATAGAAATCTTGGGGTACTCTTTGAAGTTCTTTGTACTGGATTGAATATTACGAATCTAAAGTTGTTTGATGCATATCCTATAATCAACTCACGGATATTTGTGGTGACATTGGAGTATCTAGGTGACATTAGAGTTGATTGATGTGTATCATATGGTGTTATTTTAGTACGAACTCTAGGGATATTTGTGACACTTATAGGAATAGCTCAAAAGGTGAAAGAATAACTTTGAGGTGGTTTTCTACCCTACAAACAATTTCATTTTATGTTCTCCACGATAGGAACTTTGGAGTGATTCTCTGTTGCACGTCGAGGGATTGTATATGATCCAATTATGTTATCATTGTTGAGAGATTACACTAGTAAAAGTATGAACCCTAGGCCTTGTTTTCAAGCATTGCAATACCGTTTTGCTCACTTTTGTTACTAGTTACCTTGTTTTTTTATTTATTCGGATTATAAAAATATATTTCTACCATTCATACTACGCTTTTCCATCTCTTCGCCGAACTAGTGCTCTATATAATTTACCATTATATTAGGTGTGTTGGGGACACAAGAGACTCTTTATTATTTGGTTGCAGGGTTGTTTGAGAGAGACCATCTTCATCCTACGCCTCCCACAGATTGATAAATCTTAGGTCATCCACTTGAGGGAAAATTGCTACTGTCCTACAAAACTCCATCCTTGGAGGCCCAACACGAGTCTACAAGTATAAGTTGCAGAGTAGACATCATTGATCTACCTCGAGATCGGATGAACTAAACCCTAGATGAGTAGGATGATGGTTCTAGCCTCTACAGACTAAACCCTCTGGATTATATAGACAATAGGGGTACCTAGGGCTACATATGTCGGTTGCCATCGGGAGACAAATACGCCGGCTATGCTAAATCATCCTGGGAGGAGATGCCAGGCATTCGAAGGTTTCCTTCTATAGTACGGAGTTATCTCAAGCTCGGCCTTCCTTACCAGAATCCGGAGTGGCAGGCCGGCCCATGAGAGATAGACCAGCAGCTTGAGGACCCCCTAATCCTGGACCCCCTCACCTGCGCCCAACCTATCCTCGCCTCCCCTCGCGCGAGGACTGGTGGGTAGCAGCTGCGCTCGGCCCAGCCTCGCCTCCCCACGCGAGGATATGTTGGTAGTGGCGGCAGGACCGTGCATCAGTGGCGATGGGTGTAGCTCTGAATTTTATCCGAATCTTGTTCTAGTGTTTCTTAATCTTAATGTCTGCTCCAGTCCGCGTCCAAATGGGTAGCAGCGTTGGGCGCATGAACCGTCCGTCCATGTACACTACCATTTTACCGGCCCAAATGGACAGAACGCAGGAAAAAGGGACAAGATTTGGGTCGCTGGGTTGGAACCTAGAGGGCGTTCGCTGGGAGTGCTAAAAAATCAAACGTCAACAAGATGACATTTCCGAGAAAGAAAGAACTCAACAAAGATAGTCCCACCTTTAGAGCAAGCATAACAGTGGGCTTATAGCCCGCTTACATGACATTTTTGCCTATATGGATGAGGGTAATGTGAAAAAGTAAGAGCATCTATAGTCGGATCCCTCAGAGACTCCCTAAACGTCTGGGTGAACAGTTCATATGGTGCCCGGTCAAAAAAATAACCCAACCAGATCCTTCAAAGTATCGTTATACATCCGAGCTATCCGACGCACCTCAAACCCATCTCATATCTGGGGATGATATGAAGGCGACCGGCCATGCCCGGACGCGCCCGCTCTAACATGGAGTACAAGAGTGAACCACACCTGCAGCCTCACATTCATGTTTCTGTGTTGCGCATGCCCACTCCGTGAACCCGAACTAGTCGCATAGTGCCAGAGCAGGGCTCGCGTCGGAGAGGAAAGCCGCCCAAGCTAGGCATAGCGGTGTCGGAGCTTGCTCGCGTTGCGCTGGAGGTGGAGCTCCCACCGCGAGCACGGGCCGCAGCTCGCCCGTGCCGTACCGTGTTGGAGGCGGAGCTCCGCTGCGAGCCGGGGTTGTAGCCCGCCTACGCCGGTGCCGGAGCTCGCCTGCCGCATCGCCTTGGAGGCTGAGCTCCCGCCGCGAGCTGGGTCCGGGGCCACAGCTCGCCCGCGCCGCGTTGAAGGCGGAGCTCTCACCGTGCAGCAGCCGGGCGCGCGGGGCGCGCATGCTGCTACAGCAAGCGTCACGAGCTGCCATCGTGTGCTGGTCGAGCGTGCATGGTGGCTACCATCGGGCGTGCGAGCTGGGCATTGCTGCCGCATCAGCCACCGCGGCATGCTGGCATCATGCTAGCCGCATACGTAGCGTAGTAGCACAAGTACATGCACGCGCGCAGTGCTGGCTAGCTTGCTCTGGCATGGGCGAACGTGCGTGAGGCCGTCGATGCGCGTGTGTGCATGCAGTTGGCTGCCGAGCTCCCATGTGAGTCCGTGTTGGCCTTCGGCTCACCTGCAATGCAATCTTCCTCCACCTACAGCAACACGCTGCCACTATCCGTGCACACAACCTGTTCGATGAAATGTTGCTTGTAGAGAGAGAAATTGAGGGTTGAAAATGATGTGTAGTTGCTTTAGAGAGAGAAAATGAGGATGAAAGCGGGCGTGCCCAGACACTGACCAGACGTGTTCACCGAAGCTCGAGGGACCGAATTAGGTACTGCCTCCGTTTCTTTTTAGTCTGCACTTAAGATTTGATCAAAGTCAAACTTTCTAAAGTTTGATCAATTTTATAAAAAATATCAACTTCTACAATATTAAAGCTATATGATATAAACATTAATTTCATGATGTATCTAGCAATATTAAGTTCATACTGTGAATCTTGATTTTTTCTAATATAAACTTAATCAAAATTAACGAAGTTTGAATTTAATCAAATCTTATATGCAGACTAAAAAAACGGAGGTGCGCATAGCCGCACTATTACCAGCCTTAGAGCATCTCCAGCCGCGTCCCCAACAAGCCTCTCAGGCGACTTTTCGGCCGCCGGCGTCAAAAAACGACCCAGTCGCACCCCCCAGGGCTCAATTTTCGCCGGCTCAGGCCGAAATTGACGCCGGCGGACCCAACCCGAACCCGGCACGCTGGGGGCGCTCGGGGGCGCCGGGTGAATCGTTTTTGGCGCGAAAGAGTCGTGGGCCCTCCTTGCCAGTGACTTGTCTCACTTCTCGCCGCTTCGTCGTCCTCATCGCCTTGTTTCCCGCGGCGAATCAATGCCAAAGCTACCGCGCGCTGCCGCGTTGGTCAGCCTCTGCTATTGATACCTCACGGGCGGCACAGTGAAGGCGTGACGACGCGCGCCCCCGCGCATGCCACGCGTAGACGAGACCGCCACACGTGCTAGCGCCGCCTCCGCCTATATAAGCCGACCCCAGCGCGCCGGTGGCACGCACAGAGTTTCCACCACCGACGCGCCCTCTCTCCCCTTTCTCCCTCTCCCCTCGCCGTTCCAGTTCAAAAAAATGGCCAAACGATTCTCAGGCGACGGTGCGGCGGCGAACGGCTTCGGCCGCCGCCACCTTCACGAGGACGAAACTTGGCTCCTCTTTGAGGCCGAGTACTCGGTCCCGCCGGACATGCGGGTGCCCGGGGCGTGGAGAATCAGCGTTGGTGGGGTCCCGATGCCACCACTGCCCACCGGGGCGGCGCGTCGTGCGGAGATCGCGCGTATCCGCGCCTCTCTGCCACTGGCGGCGAGGGAGGGGCCGCGCTACGTCCCCGACAGCCCGCTCTGGGAGCCGTACTTCCGCCGCAGTCACGCCGAGCAGCTCGAGGCCACCAACGGCGTCGTGCCCTTCGGCAGGCTCAACACCGAGGAGCGGCGCCGATGGTGGGGCGTGCCCGGTCGCACGCTGGAGGCCGTCCTCGAGTACATCGAGGGCGGCAACACGTCGAGGCTGGAGTACGCCTCCCCGCCGTCCCTCTCCCGCCGCCGTAGGAGCTCGTGGACGCCGAGGCGCATGGACCCCGGGGCGTCCTCCTCCTCGTCCGGTCGATCGACCGGCTCTCCCTACCTCCGCCCCGTCAAGCCGGAGCCCCAGGAGCCTCAGGACATGCCTGTCAGCCGGCGCACCCGCAGCTTCGGTATCCGCATCGCCGACTCCACCCCCGCTTCCGGGCGCCTCATCCTCGTCGTGCCCAAACCGGAGCCCAGTCTCCCCCCCGGAGTACGAGGAGATAGCCTGGCGCGGCTTCTTCGACGCGGACGCCCTGCGCTGGGCGCGCGACGACTACCTCCGGACCGAGATGACCCGGCAGACCCGGACCCTGTAGGAGATCGCCGCCCGCAAGCGTGGGCGCGAGGACGAGCACGGCGTCGTGATCCTCGACAGCGACGACGACGAGGACGCCGCCGGACCGTCCAACCCGCCGCGCCAACCGGGGGAGGGTTGCAACAGGGACGGCGGCCACGACGGAGGCGGCGACGGCGACGACGACGATGCCGACGACGGCGACTACACGCGGTTCTACAGTCTCCTCGGCATGTAGAACTGTAAGAGCGGCGGCCGGCGAGGAGAGGCGAGGCGAGCGAGACGGCGGGCGAGCATAGTAGTGTGTTTTTTCTTTTTGTAAAATATTTTAAATATGTATGAGCGGGCGTGTTTGTACTGTGTTTGGTCGAATTTGGTTTGAAGTCGCCGAAATATGCATGAACTCGCCGTGTTTACGCCATTCAAAAAAATTTTATGGGCGCCGTAACTGGATGGCATCACGTCTTCAACGCGCGTTTTACATCGGTACTTCCCAGAGACGATTTTTAGCGCCTCATGGAGGCCAACGACCGGAGATGCTCTTACGTTCTTGGCACAAATCCAGAAACACGGGGTGCGATGACTAACCAGGGCCGCTAGCCCAAACCCCCCTCGAGCCCAATGCAGCGAAAACCCCAACCCTAATACCGACTCGAACCGATCCCCATCTCCGATCCGATCCGATGCTTCCCATGGTCGACGACCCCTCCGCCGCCGGCGCCGCTGCGTCCTCCTCCTTCCCTGACGCCGACGCCTATGGCAACGGGGACTCTGAAGACATCGAGTTCCCAGTCGATCCAATTCCCAATCCTCCCTTCTCCTCCTCTGCTCCCGTCGCCGCCCCCGCCTCTGCCACGGCCACGGTCGGGGAGCGGCGGCCCCTGTTCCAGCGGCTATGGACGGAGGAGGACGAGATCGTGATCCTACGCGCGTTCGCCGAGTTTACGGCGCAGCGGGGCACGGCGTTCGCGTCCCACCAGTACGACACGGAACCCTTCTACGAGGAGATGCGCCGACGCCTCCAGCTCGATTTCTCCAAGAGCCAGCTCGCCGAGAAGCTTCGCCGCCTTAAGCGCAAGTACCGCAACTGCGTCGAGCGCCTCCGTTGCTCCGGCAACACGTTCTCCTTCCGCTCCCCTCACGAGCAGGCCGTCTTCGAGATCGCTCGCAACATCTGGCGCCCCTCCTCCGACAAGCACGGCCGCGACCCCAACGCCGCTGACTCTGAAGACGACGCCACAATCACCGGCACGAATGCTGCAGCCAACGGAGACGCCAAGTCCCCGTCCTCCTCAAAGGCGCATCGCCGTGGCCGCCGCAGGCGTACGGCTGACTTGGCTGCCGATGCGTCCGAGGGGCCTCAGCCGTACATATCGGGGCCCATGCCTGTCAAGACGGAGGACTCGCTGCCGGCATTCTTTCCTCAGGTCTCCATGGACGGTGCTGAGCCTGTTGTGGCGCCAGTGGTGAACACGGAGAGCAGCGTCCTGACGCCTCTGTTCAAGGAAATGGTCCGTGCCATGCTAGGCATCGGCGGCTGCCCGTCGCCGCTGGGCCTGGGAGCGAAGGTGCGGGAGCAACCGTCTGCAGTTCTCGGGATACCCATGGAGGGAGAGAAGTGGAGGCAACAGAGGATTCTGGAGCTGGAGGTGTACCTGCGGCGGATCGACCTGCTGCAGGACGAGGTGAAGTCGGCACTGGAGGAGCTAAAATCCACGCCGCCAACATGATGATTGTGGCCGCTATTCAGCTTCGCCATTCCTTGGTTCAATTGTCATTAGTCCCAGGTACCGTCCATAAAAAAATGTTTTAAACCTGTTTGAAACGCAGGAACTTCGTAGGAATTGCCCTTGTCCAGGAGATAAACATATATATATATATATATATATATATATATATATATATATATATATATATATATATCAAATTTGCAGCGCGACGCTGCCTTTGCTAGCAGTTGTGTTAGGCTCGAGCATTAGAGTTAATTTACGTGGTTCAGGTTGTTAATTTATGTGGTTCTGACTGTCGGTCAGCTGTTTTTCTCGTGTTACTGTTTTTTATATATGTGATCATGAATAAGCATGGAGTTTTCCAAATCACATGTGTAGACGTCCCAGCCATATCCTCATAAGCTGAGGAGCATTGTCTGCTTGGTGTGCTGTGCGAATCAGCGCAATAATGAAAAGCACTAAGCAGAACTCCCAGGAAGGCAAAATATATACTCCAATATGAGGTGTATTATTATATTGCGTATAATGATAAGCTGAGGAGTAGTACATACGTGACAAAAGTTACGTCACGTAGCATAAAAGGAGAGGGTAAAAAAGACTAGGTTCATCCAAGTTTGCTAACAAATATCACCTTGGTTGTGAATTATAAGATGTTTTGGATATTTCAATATAGACTACATATACAAACTGCATTAAATTGCTAACAAATATTACATCAGATTCAAATTAGAAGAGGTTTAAGATATTTTAATATAGACTACATACACATCTTATAATTTGGGTATTAGCACAACCAAGTGGGGCAAAAGCTCCAAAGCGAACTCAGAGCCAGCTTTAGCGCTCTGGCCTCGACCTGGACAAAACATCTTAGGCCAGTTCTTTTTTGCTGGCTTCTGGAATAAGATGCCCTCTACCTCTGAAAGCTCAATCAAAAATTATTCTCTTAAAAGCCTAGTGGTTCCCCGCAAAAAAAAAAGCCTAATGGTTAAGTCTTTTTTTTGGCGGGTCTAGTGGTTAAAGTTTTAATTAGTAGGTTTCTAGAAAGATAAATTTGGTTGGGTTTACAAAATAAGCTGGGTCCCGGCGGCTTAATCTAGAAGCCCAAAAGAACTGGCCCTAAGAGCATCTCCAATAGGTGCTATATAATAGGGACCACCTATGTGACGACTCTCTGCGTCAAATTGCTGAGGATTTGCAGAGTGTGTTCGACTGGGCCGCCTCATGAAGATAGCGACGCGACGCGAACCGTAGCTCAAAAAGAAAACTTGCAAAGCGGAGAATTCGAACACAGGATAGACTGCTCTAAAGTATGCGTTGCTACCAGTTGAGCTAGAAGCCGTATTCGACCATATTGGAGCATCAAACTTAAAGAACAAAATGCGCTGCACGGATCCGATTAGTTCAGGAATTTTGAAAGCATTTTTTTTCTTCAAAAAAACGGAATGTTCCGTGAGACGCAAACACTATCCAAAATTGTGAAAAATATTTTGGAAAACTACATTTAAAAAAAAGAAACATTTTTTGAGAATCATGAACAATTTTTTGAAACATGAACATTTTTCCAAATTCCAAAACAAAATTGGGAAACGTGAACGTATTTGAAAATTCCTGAACAAAATATGAAAACATGATTTTAATGAAACTTGTGAACATTTTTCTAAACTCCTGAAAAATGAAAATGCGAACAAATGTTTAAAATTTGTGAGCAATTTTTTAAAACAGGAACATTTTTTGAACATTGTAAATTTGAAAAGAAAACAATCAAACATTTTTTTGTAAAACAAGTTTTTTTTTGAAATTCCAGAACAAATTTTGAAAAATGCGAACAAGTTTTGATTTTTTTAAAATGTGAACAATTTTTTAAAACAGGAGCATTTTTTTCAATTTATGAACAATTTTTAAAAGCGCGAACTTTTTTTCATATTTGAATGTTTTTCTAAAACAGGATTTTTTTTGAAATTTCCGAACAATTTTTGAAACATGATCTTTTAAAAAATAAACTTGAAAAATAAATAAATGTAAAAGTGAAAAAACAAAAAGAAAACAAAAAACAGAAAACAAAATTCAAAAAGAAGAAAAAGAAATAGAAATGCGGAAAAAAGGAAAAAACTAAAAACAAAAAAATGCAAGAGGAAACAGGAAAACCCGTCACAATGATAAAAATGGTTCGGAGAAGGTTCCCAAAACCGGCTGCCCAGATTTTTTATAATGGGCCGGCCCATTGCTAGCGATGCGGCGCTTCGCCTGTGCGTTGCGTCGACATTTTGACGCAACAAGCGGCGCATATGGTTTTCCATATAATAGGGTCTAAACTGGAGGTCGAAGCAAAATTTCGTAACACCTCAAATTGATTTTTACAACATCAAAGACCTTCAACTCCGCTTAAAAAAAAGACCTTCAACTCCAATAGATAGCTAAAAACATTTTTTAATGCATATTGCATAGATCATTCATATAAACATTCAAACATCGCATAGATTAAACATAAAGAACACTACTATACTCATCCGACTCATAGTCGGTGTCGATAGACTTCCAATATGCCAGGTCGTCATCGAAGCTCAGCTCCTCCTCTGAATCAAGGTTGATCACCATCGATGGGCCAGCCTCATCCCCCTTCACCTTCTCAACATCTCACTTCCAAAGAAACTCCGCCTTGTATTGGACATACTGTGGGTTCTCCCTCGCAACGACGCCATCGCCTCCTCATCGCTCTTGCCGGGAAGAATGCGGGTATCCTTCTTCTCCTCCCCCTCGTTGTCCGACACTGTTGGTGCAATATCTTGCCCCTTGTGTTTTGGAGATGGTTGTCAGAAATAACATGGGAATAATTGGTTTACTAGTGCACACAGAGAGAAATAGTTTTAGGCGTACCTAGAAGAATATTATATTCTACCATGAAGTTTGAAGAACTTCGCTGAGGAACATCTGCATTACAGAGAAGAAACAGATACATTTCGAGAAGAAAGTGTACCGAGAAGATTGTGTGAAGGAGATGACCCCTTAAAATTATTGTTGATGCGAAGCAATTTTCATTTGGTGTGTCCGAAGAAAAATGGCTGCAGTCGAGAAGGTCGAAGACGAAGCGAAGATGTAGTATTTGTTTTTTTCATTGTTCTTCTTCTCTTATTTGAGTCATAGGGCCTCTGTATTATTAAGAGGGGTATAGGTTCTCGGTGCTTAGGTCTGTTGTGATGGTTAGCTGAAACCTATGAGAGTGGAGCGAAATCTATTTGTGTTTCGAATAAATACTTGTCAGCAAGAGACGTAGTTCTTCTTCGCTGCGAGAGATTTGATTCTGACTTGTCACGGCCCTAGATTAATTGTTTGTAATTAGTTGCATTAGTGAGCATCATCATGCTTCATTTTAAATTCAAGGAAATCGAATTGAGGAATTCTTAAAGCCTCAGAAATCATTTTAATAAAGAACCCTGGAAATCTCATTCAATTGTTCAAAATGCTCCTTTAATTGTTTTGAGAATTTTGGCAAGAACTATAATTCAACCCAAAATTTAGGAACATTTTTAAGGATTATTTTGGGCTTTAAGTTAAATCACTATTGTATTTGAATTTGAGGTTATATTCATATAATTAAAATATAATCTGAAAACTCCCTGAAATAATTTATGTGCATTTGGCTAGGTCCATTATGGCAACATAAGTTCAGAGAAGAGTTTGGCACTATTTAAATTTTGGTTGAATTCTGAAAAACAGTGGCAAAAGAATATTAAAACAAAAGCAGAAATAAATAGAAATAGAGAGAAGAGAGAGAGAGAGAGACTTATCAGGACCATGCCCAGCAGCCTAGCTACTGTGCAGCCCAACCCACCAGGACACACTGTCTTTAACCTCTGCCTATTGGCAGAGGCGTGTAGGCGCGCGCGCCCGAGGCCTCCACCTCCTCTGTGCCTGCTTCACGCTGTCCCCATGCCTCCTCCTTGCAACACAGAGACGCCCTCGTCCACTCCTCTTACTTTATAGCCCTTCCCTTGTTCCTGTCAATCCCGAGCGCGCCCATTGCCGTTGCTTGGTGCCATCGCGCCCAGCTAGATCGCCTGGCCTCCCCAGCATGTCCTGGAGCTCCGCTGCGACGCCTTCTTCCTCTTCGCCTACGCACGTGAGCCAGGGGTCAACACAGCGCCGCTCTCTTCGCCACCTTCACCGTCGGCCGCCGCCCCGTCGACTCTAGAACCTCCATCGAGCCCCGAGCCCTCCGTCCGACGCGCTCTGAGCTTCTGCTCTGTTTCTCCCATTCAATGTTGTCCCTCACATCCTCTAGCCACCGCCCCCGTGAGCACCGAGCTCCGGCCATCGCCATGGCCGGCGAGCCTCGTGCTCCCGAGCTCTTCTGCTCGCTCGAGTAGCACGCGCGCGCTCACGGGTCCCCAAGAAGCCGCATAACCGCTCGGTTGGTCTTCCCGTGCACCACAATGTCGACTTCTTCGTGCCTGTGGCTCGGCCGTCGCGAAAGCTCATCGCTGGCCATGCTCCCGGCCTCCCTGTGCCCCTGACGCGTCCCGTGGATGCGCACGAGCGCCAACTGCTCGTAGGGCCAAGTAACGCCCTGGCCAATGCCTATAGCGCCGTCCCAAGCGGACATCATCGCGCTTGATGGTCGCCGGTGGCCAAGTCCGGCCGGCTGATATGGCCCTGTAATTAGGGCCTAACCCCCATGCTAACCCACCACCACAACCTATGATAGTGGGCCCCATGCCACCTAATGTTTTAGTTAGAATTAATTTAAGTCACTGCTTAACACTTTTAAATGAATGAGTTGCTGACTAGTGGGACCCACCAGTCAGTTTTGACTTTGTTGATTGCTGACGCAATGCTGATGCAATAAAGGATTTTCTGGTTAAAAATAAAAATATGATTTTATAAATTCCAGAAAATACCACAAACTTCAAAAACTCATAGAAAATAATCTATAACTTAGATGAAAATAATTATATATGAAAAATGATGAAAAATATATGAAGAATTTGTTTATGCCATGTTCA